GTAATTGAAATAAGTGACCTGCCTTTTTGAGGTTGTAGACTTTCTCTTATGCTATGCACTTCGCTCTAATTCCAAATTTGGAACGAGTATAGTTATTACATCTCTTGACGAGATTCCGAGTCGGTAAACATACCAACCATGATGATGTATGATTGCCAAGCCCCAAAGCTTTAAAAACAACTTCAACTTCTACAGATAGTGATGGAGGCGTGTAAGGCCTACGCAGAACAAACAAAGCGTTGGATTGTGCTGCCACTGCACAGTGCTCTGCCCTCATTTAGTCAGGAAAAGATCTTTCATACTCCCCCCGACGGAGTGCGAAAGTGCGTTTTGGCCACCAATATCGCTGAAACTTCGGTCACTATCGATGGAATAAGGTAAGCTTAACACCGTGTAATTCATCTCCAGCATGCTGTTGTAGCATGGTAGGATGAAGGCGCTCATGTGTGTGTGCGCGTGCTCCTATTAGATGCACAGCGTTTATATGAAGTTATTGTAGTAAAGTTTAAAACTAGAATTAATGGGTGACTGTTTAGCATAGAGCATAGCATTCAACATCTCTAAGCTACCATTTTTGCGCAATAGCACAAACATGCTTTGCTCCATAGACCAGGGCAGTCTGCTAGAATGCAAATGCATCCTATGAATGTGACGTCCAAGTTATGATGCCTTTGAACTTCACTTTAAACAAAACGGTACAGTATGCTTTCTCTTTACCCAACTTTTGTTGGTCCTTTTCCTCTTTACTTCACTATATTTTATAGCCTTCGAAAAGGGATAAAATAGGCGCTTCTTGTTCCGCCGGCATGGTTCTCTTGTGTAAAGCAGTTACACTTTACGTGTACCGGTTTTCCATTCAACGAAATCCATTGCTATTAAAATTCCTTTCATGTGATATCAGTATTGGATTAAAGGCTGAGCGGGTTGTGACGTCTGTTGTGAGTTTTTTAAGGTGTGCTGTTTTTTGAAATTCGGAGGATCACCTCTTCGTCTGTGCGAATAGCTTGGATTTTCAACTCGGATGCAGCAAATCAATCTCCTCTATAACTACTTTTCAAGCGATCACTTGTTTTCTTTAGCGATAAATTTTTTGCTATACTAAAGCATAAAAACGATAAGGTGATGCAGCACCTCTTACATGATTGAGTTATGAGTCCATTTGTTTAGGTTGGAATCTTAACATCCCATAGAGGCACATCTCCATATGTTTTAAAATAGATTTGTGGCTGACTCGGGTCGTGTCAAGGAACTAACGTGGGACGCTATGACGCGAATGCGTCGACTTAAGGAGACGGCCATCTCAAAGGCAAGCGCTGACCAGCGCAAGGGCAGGGCGGGACGCACCGGACCCGGCGTCTGCTTTAGATTCTTTAAGGAGGAGGAATACAATGAGTTTCAGGTCAGCCAGTCATTTTATTCACTCGTATTGTCTCGGGACGCGATGCGTTCCAATGGATAAGTCTCGTTTGACGAAGTAAAACTTGTTTATCGAAGTTTAAAAAAGGCACAAATGGAGGCATTTTAGGAGCTGTTTTCGCCTCGCGTTTCAAGAATATAAGTCTCATAGTCCATACAAAATATTCCGTACGTAGGTGTCGTAAAACGCAGGATTGAGGATAAGATCACATTTATGCTGCTAGAGGAATCCGTTTTCCTAGCTATAGTTGGAACCTACCTCCAGCTCACCAATTCAAGTTCTAATGGGGAAAAACTTTTTAGCTCTGCACTTGCGCGGAAAAACTGACGGTAAATTGCAGTTGTAATAGTTTTAGTGACCGAGTTTAGAAGTACACTGCTTTGAATGATTTGTCAATGTCTTTTCAAATTTGGAAGGCTTTGCTAAGGCACGTTTGCTAGTTTTAGTAATGCTAGCATGCCTGCCGAATGTGCTGTGAATTTTGAGACCCACATCTAGATGAAACCACTTTGTTACGGCTATGATAAATATCATTTGGGCAAAGTACGCATCAGTGGAGCGTTTTATGTGCTGCGCGCTGACTGTCTTGGTCGCAGTGGTCCTTCTTATCCGACTGCAATTTGAGTGATAAGGCTCGCTTTTTGGGGTGAAAGTGAATGTTCCACATATTTGTAGTTAAACGATGCAGTTGCTCATACAAAACGCGGACGATCTGGAATTATAGGTAATTCTTTAATGAAAAAATGCAAATAACTCGATCAGGTCTTGATCGCCTGCATTTTACGCTGGTTGGTAATATCTACAATTGTTTTTCATTGATGCGACTGAATCGACTCATACGCATGTAACGCATATCAACCAACCCTAATTTCTTAGCCCTTTACCACACCGGAGATTAAAAGAGTGCCTCTCGATCTGTTGGCGCTTCAAATGATGGCAATGGGACTGCCCGACATAAAGCGGTTTCCTTTCATCGAGCCTCCAGAGACAAGATCATTGGATGAAGCCCTTGAGACCCTCATTGTGAGTGTTTCTCTTTCATTCGTGTGGGCCATTCAGATGTCATGTTTGGCCTGCAGAATTCACTTCTGATGTTTGTATTTTGATGGTAGAATCCCCTAATCGGTAATTTTCTGGTCCTGTCAGCTTTGAAGACTTGCGGTAATTCATTGAGTATAGCTAATGTGCGGGAAGAAAATTTGGAGTGGTAGATAGAGCGTTGCTGCCAGTGGGCTTTTTGAAAATGTCCAGATTTTGCATTGTGATACTTGGGTGTTTTTTACCTTAATCTCGTTTATGAAGCGACTCTAAAAACGTTATTAATGATGAAAAGATTGACTTTGAAAGCCGAGGTCAGGAACTATCAAAATGAGGAACCAGAATGGGAGTTATGTAGCAATTACTTTTTAGTATTTAGAATACAGAGAATACAGAAGTTTATTAAGGCTTAGATTGTGTAGAAAATCAGACTTGCGAGACAACAACGTAGTACTTTAAATTGCTTTTAATGCAAGCAGAATATCATCGTTGAATATGACTTTTTGATGAGCACATAGGCTTCTTATTTGAAACCACACTATGGCTTGATTCATTCCATTTCAGATCCTCTATAAGATCGATTGTAATTGAGGCGAGAACCTTGGACTGTTGCCAGTTTCGACATGGACTGTAATGCGCTTATCCAACTTTGGGATACTTTGAGTCCAGAATTCAAAAAAACGCATGAGTTCAAGAAATTAGGCTATATAGTCAATATTCTGCACGGTTAGAATGAGGATTACGGCACGACAAGCAGTTTCAACGAATCTTACTGTTAATTACTTTAC